TCAGTATATTCCTTCCATCTTCTTTTGATACCTCCTGGATCATTTAACATTCTGCCTAAAGCATCCTTGATTGTAGCAACTCGAGGTTTGAATTTGTTCTTCAGTTCCTTGAGCTTAAGAAATGCTGAACAAGTTCCGCCCTTTTGATTTTCCGACTTTAGCTCCTCACACATTTAATTGTAATATTTTGCTTTGTCATTCCGCGCTGCCTTTTGGAATCTTCTGTTCAGCTCTTTAGTGTCTTGGATTCTTCCTTATGCTTTGGCTTCTCTACGTTCCAGTGCAATCTTCAGATTGCATGTCCAAAGTAGGTGAGGTAAAGCCTCATTCTTGCCTCCAGAGAGCTGGCTGCACCCCCTCCAAGACATCTGTTCGTTCTCTTGGCTGTCCATGGAATGTTCATTGCTCTTCTCCAGCACTACAGCTCAAAGGCATCAGCATCAATTCTTTTTCTGTCATCCTTATTCATTGTCCCGCTCTCAGATGCACAGCAAATAATAGGAAAGACTGGCCTCATGCAGACGCACCTTAGTCTTCAAACTAACATTATTACTCAATAATTTGGAAAGGTCTCTAACTGCAGATTTTCCCAGTGGAATGCATCTCCTTATTTCCTGATTGCTGGTACCAACAAAGGAGTTAATTATAGATCCAAGCAAGATGTAGCATTGACAGTTTCAATCGCCTCTCCATCCATTGTGATGCTGCCTATTGGTCCAACAGTAATATTAGTCCATCCAGACTTACAGACTCGGTAACCCAGAGCAGGGGGTTTTCTTTGCTTTAGGAATTTGTGTCTAGCTGTTGGACTCCATTCATTACCAGTTGATTGCACTATGGCCTTCAACCATTTCCTGGGGCATTAACTGCTCCACAGACTGATCCAATTAATTAGAGCTCCTTTGTTAGGGCAGCCTTTTTTGTTTACTTTAAATGCTTTATTGTGATTTGATTAAAAGCTTACAGAGAAGATTGTTTTTCCATTCAACCATTCATACACATTTTGCTTTATAACCTTAATTACAATCCCTTTTTTTTTTTGTGCATGTGTGTACCATCAAATCAGATCTGACTGGTACAGGAGGAGACTGTTCCTCCTTCTCCAGCAAAGCATCTGGTGGATTTGAACCATGCACCTCTGGGATTGCAGCACACCCTCCTGCCACTAGGCCACCAGAGCTCACCTACAATCCCTTATTATAACAGCTTTCTTCAGCTCCATTTGTCCTCCTTTCCTGACTCTGGGCACTCTCCGTGGGCAAATTCTGCCCTGTCCATCCCCTGTGGTTCTGAGATGTGATGACCCCTAGTTTTGCTGTTCCTCTCACAGGCCTGTTGAGTCATAGAGGCGGGTTTTGTTCCAGGTTCAAAGGATGGCAGAGTTTTTGGGGGTGTGGAGCAGAGACATCATTGTAACAGTTCGTACCACTTGTACTCATTCACACACACTGGTGGTGTGTGTGTCCTGACGGGTAGTGAGATCCCAGGGTAGAGCAGAATGGCCTCATTCGGTGTATGAGGCTGCACTCTTCACAGAAGCCAACTGCCACTTTTTTCTCACAGTGCAGCTGGTGGCCTCAAATTGCCAATGTTTCTGTGGGCAGTGTATCGCCTTAACTGCTTTGTCACTGGGGCACCAGTAGATAAAGGAGGGCATTGTTGTTGGGTGTCATGGAGCCCAACTTCTGTACAGTAGACAGGAACCCAGGCCCATCCTGCACCATCCTCAGACTGTTGTGTGAGCCCATTGTTGTGGACCTGAATGGGTGGGTCAGGGAGTTTTACCTCTCTATATGAATGTGGGGGCTCCTGGACAGAGATCAGATGTGTCCTGTTCTCTTTCTACTGGAGGCATGCATCCCTTTATTGTGCTTGACTGCACTTGGCAAATACTGTGGTTTTTAATAAATTGAAGGTCTGTAGCAACCCTTCTTTGAGCGAGCCTCTATTGGTGCCATTTTCCAGCAGCAGGAGCCCACTTCATGTCCCTGGGTCTCATTTTGGTCACTGATCCTACGTCAGACTTCTTTGTTGTGGGATGGCATGTTCACTGGACTCTAATAGAGTCCCAACACAGCTCTCCCACCTGCTGTGAAATGCAGAAGTTTGCTCTTTTATGACCCCTAATTAGCAGTTTGGTGATTGGGAAATGATTTGCATGTTACCGACATGCTTAATATCTTAAAAAAAGAAAGTTTGCACTGTTGGGATATTGGTTTTATAATGGTGGTCTAGGCCCCACCCCAGTGTCTGTCCTTGGAAATACCAGGAGGCCCTAGCCATGGCAGGTGCTTGCCTCTCGGCCTCATGATTAAAGTCCAGCACGTATGTGTGGATTTGTGCAGGACCCTGGTACCAGATGCTGAGTGGACACGCTGCCCTGACCTTTGCTCACTCTCTGCCCCTTGCAGGGCCTCCCACTCTCGCCATGCCAGTGCCCACGGAGGGCACCCTGCCACCCCTAAGTGGCACACCAGCCCCTGCCTACTTCCGCCACTCAGAACCTGGCTTCTTTCTCAAGAGGCGACGCAGGCTCAGCCAGAGCCTCCCACCCCGGCCCCCGGCCAAGGGCTGCATCCCAGTCAGCCGCATCTTCCCTTGGCGGACCCCTGGCTGGCATCAGCCGCGGACAGTGTCCTTCCGGGCTGAGGCCCCGGAGCTCCTGCAGAGCACCCAGTATGATCCCGGCCGGCCTGAGTCCTTCTTCCAGCAGTGCTTCCAGCAGCTGGGCCACCTGGGCCATGGCTCCTACGGGGAGGTGTTCAAGGTGAGTGGAGGATCCAGGCCAGGTGCTCAGAGCTGGGGCTCTGCGCCCCACCTCCCCTCCTCCTTGGACATCCCATCCTCACTGACACTGGACTTGGCCACTTTCTTACCCCTTCCTGGGTGGACCCCTCCAAGGCCACCCGTCCTCACCCCCACTTCCCTGCACACTTGCCCCTTGTCCAGAACCTGGCATGCAGCATGGGACTCTGGGTCTCCACATCCCTGCCTGGATCCCTCTTAATGGGGCTCTCAGCCAGTTCTCATCCAGGATACAGCCTCCCACTGTGCATAGTCCCACCTTGCCTGCCGCCCCCACCAAGCTGGCAGCTGCTGGTACTATACTCTGCCTCCTTTCATTCCTTCAAAGCATATCTTCCAGTCATTTGTTTCCATTAAAACATTGGACTTCCTTGCACAAATATTACCTGAATACAATGCCACATAATACCCACTGTCCTCAGCAGATTATTGTTCATAGTGACCCTGGAGGGTCTCTAAGACTGTAAATCTTTACAAAGGCAGCGGCCTCATCCTTCACATATGGAGGGGTTGGTGCATTCAAATTGTTGACCCTTTAGTTAGCCACCAAGTGCTGTATTGTGCACTACCAGGGCTCCTTGTGAATTCTTTCCCGGAACCCACTGTGGTTCCTGTGGCTGGGAGAGTCCAACTTACAGCTGCCCTGGAGGGCAGAGCAGAACTGCCCTGGGATTTCAGAGGTTGTAAATCTTCCTAACAGCATACTACCTGGTCTTCTTCCCATGAAGCAACTACTGGATTCAGACTGTCAACCTTTTTGTTAATAGCCCAACAACGCCTTGTTTACGCCCCCACCTCTTTTCCAGGTGCGCTCCAAGGAGAATGGCCACCTCTATGCTGTCAAGCGCTCCCTGTTGCCCTTCCGGGGCCCCAAAGACCGAGTCCGCAAGTTGGCAGAGGTGAGGGGCCACGAGAAGGTGGGGCAGCACCCCCGCTGCGTGCGGCTGGAACGCGCCTGGGAAGAGCGTGGCCTGCTGTACCTGCAGATGGAGCTGTGTGGGCTGAGCCTGCAGCAGCACTGTGAGGCCCATGGCACCAGCTTGCCAGAGGGCCAGGTCTGGAGCTACCTGAGGGACACTCTGCTGGCCCTGGCCCACCTGCATGGCCAGGGCCTGGTCCACCTCGACATCAAGCCTGCTAACATCTTCTTGGGCCCACGGGGCCGCTGTAAGCTGGGTGACTTTGGGCTGCTGGTGGAGCTGGGATCTGCTGGGGCCAGTGAGGCCCAAGAGGGGGACCCCCGCTACATGGCCCCTGAACTACTTCAGGATTCTTATGGGACAGCGGCAGACATATTCAGGTGAGTCTGAAGGGAGGAGAGTGACTCCCCCAAGGGAAAGCACACTGGAACACCCCCAGGTGAAGATGCTGAGTTTCCTGCCCTGCAGTCAGGGAAGAGTTTCTCCCATGGGCCAAGGGGTCCCATGACCTGGGAGCCTCTATGCTGCAGTATGTCCATAGCTCTTTAGGAGGATGGGGACTGTGTCACCTCCTGCAGTGGGGACAGACAGGCCCTGGGCCTGCCACTGGGTGCCAGTTCACTCTGTTGTTCATGCCCTGCACTGCCCCTGACCACAGCACTGATGATACCAAGAACAGTCCCCAGTGCTCTGGTGGTGCACACAGCTGTGCTTAGCTGCTAATGGAAAAGTCTGGTTCAGACTCACGCATTCTGTCACAAGAGAAAGACCTGGAAGCTGCTCCCGTGAAGTCGACAGCCAGGGCCACCCTAGGAGGCTCTACCACATGGGGTGGCCCTGAGTCTCAAACATCCCTAGTGATGGCAGGCCTGCTAGGAACCATGGTAACCAGCATCTGTCCAGTGGGCCAGCCTGGGAGACTCCCTGCAATGGGTGTAGGAGTCGGGCTCTATGAAGGGGCATTTCTAGCTGGGGGGCTGGCCACTGCCTCCTTCTCACCACGTTGGCCTTTGGGTAAGGCTTTAAGGGCCCTATAGGTGTCTAGCTGTGTCCTAAGGTCAACATCTGTCCCTTCTCTGCCCCCTGCAGTCTAGGCCTCACCATTCTGGAAGTGGCCTGCAACATGGAGCTGCCCTGTGGTGGTGAGGGCTGGCAGCAGCTGCGCCAGGGCTACCTGCCCCCTGAGTTCACTTCAGGTAAGTGGGGGCAAAGAGGGTGGCTCCCACGGGGGCCTATCCTGCACAGATGGTAACGTGCTCGTCTGGTGTCTAATGCCCAGGACTGTCTTCTGAGCTGTGCGCCATCCTCGCCATGATGCTGGAGCCGGACCCTACACTGCGGGCAACGGCCAGGGTGCTCCTGTCACTCCCCATGCTCAAGGAGCCTAGGCCCTGGAGCGTCCTGTGGTCCACGGCAGCTGATGCCCTGAGCCGAGGGTGGGCACTGTGGCAGGTAAGCCAGTGAAACCAGGGACAGGCTGCTGCCTTGTCCTCCCCAGGCATCCACCCAGCCTCCTGACCCCTGTCCCTTCCGCACGCAGGCCCTGGTCTCCCTGTTGTACTGGCTCTACCACTCGCTGGCCCGCCCTGCCAACTGGCTGCAGCCCCCAGCCCCACCGGCCACCCCTCCTTGTTCACCCCATTGCACTTTCCTCCAGGACCACAGGCTCTCCAGCAATGTGGAGGACAACAGCTTTGGGTGAGTGGACCAGGCAGGGGCGAGCCTGGCCTAGCACAAATGCAGCTCTTCTCTGCTCAGCCCTGTGCTAAGCAGAGAGCAGGTTAGCGGCTTCACACTGGATAGCTGGCCCTACACTGCTGCAGCTGTCACCCCAGGGGCAGCACATGGGCTGGGACACTCGCTGAGGAGGGAGATGGAGAAGATCCCCCACCCTAAACCCCCAGTGGAGTCACTATGGCCCCAGGGTCCCTGGTGGAAAAGCAAAGCTTAGAAATTGCTGCAAAGGGTACTATATTGTTCAGAGGGGACACTTTTCAGGAGGGATGATAATGGCATTCATCCATCTGTGGTGGCAGCGGCATCCTTCTGCCCCAGTGGATAGGAAGCAGTAGATAAGGGTCACTGGCCCCAAAGTTCCTTTCAGCTTAATAGGAGCGCCTGGCTTGCCTCTGGTCCTTGGGAGCTGAAAGGCCTCTCTTCCAAGCGTACCACGTGTGCTGTTCCCATCTTGCTGGGGGGCAGCCCACAGTAGGGGTCCTGACAGTTGAGCTCCCTGCCCACCCCCCACCATCCCTCACCACCCTGCCTGTCCCCTCTTGCCCTTCGACAGATCTGCCTGGGGCACGTAATCCCCCCTCCCCCTGCCCTCTGGAGCAGATACACAGCTCTGGGAGCCAGAGCACAGGTGGGGTTGGGGAGGAGCTTTCAGTCTCACCAGATCATTTTTCTCTCTTCTTTCCCCTGCATAGGGACCTCCTCGACCTGAGCAACACTCACCCAGCACCTTCTGAGGGCTCCTTACTGTCCTTTGAGCCCCGGAACCTCCTCAGCATGTTTGAGGATTCTCTGGACCCCAGTTCCCCCACCCAACCTGGAAATTCTTAACTTTTTACCTCCTATCACTCCTGAACACTCCCTCTGACTATTAAACGGTATTCAAGTCTTGGGTACACCTTCATTTGCACAGGTGGCAACATAGCACATCCTGTCTCATTTATTCACATACTCAGGGTTGAAGGGCCTCTGGGGCGCGACCTGAAGCGGATCCTGGCTAGGGAGCTCTGGGGCCTCACACCTTGGGCCAGCTACCTAGAGCAGAGCAAATTTCCTGAGCTGGTGGGTCCCTAGTAGGTAGCTAAGGCAGAGACACACCTTCAGCCCCCGGGGCCATAGGCATTCACCTCTCTGTGTCCACTGTTGGGTCACCAACAGAAGGCTTCCTGTTCCTTGGCCATGATGGTATCTTGGTCTCTTAACGAAGAGGCCAGTCCTGCTGCCCGCCACCCCTCACTCTGCAGGCTCAGAGCAGACTGGAGCAGAGGGGATGTGCAGGCCACTGGGAGGGCTGGCATGCAAGGAAGGGTAAGATCCAGACATGGATGCAGAGTCCACCAGAGGCTGTGGGAGGGGTGAAATGAGGATGACAGAAAGTTGGCAGGACTACAACTGTCCCAGCTAGATGTGCCTCCTAAGCCCTCTGGCCCAAACCCCACAGGTCTCGGGAAACTGAGGCCAGAGAGGGCAAGGTTTTTCTTGGATCAATGCAGTCAGATGATGGTGTCCTGGTGCCCAGAGAACAACGGATGCGTTCCATAGAAGGATGGGTGATGAGCGGATGAGGTCTCCCTGGCATGGGAGTTCCGCTTTTGTGGAAAGTTTCCAGGAGCCAGCCCCTCTCAGACCAGTGAGAGGGAAGCAAGGTGGTGGTGATTCTAGGGATCCAGTTGGCTGGCAGGACGAACAGTTCAGTCTGGTGGGCAGGCGTGGTGGGCAGCCCAGAGCAGATCGGGCACAACACCAGCGTGTAGCTGCAGGATGGAGCCCACGCTGAGCAGATGCATGATCTGGTGTGAGTTACCCCAGTAGTCAAAGCGACCAGGTCCCCAGCGCTCAGGCAGGCGGGCCACGTTCACCAGCCCACCCAGCAATGCCAGAGCATCCATGCGCAGATAGCAGGGTAGGGAGCCTGGGGCCCCAGAACCCAGCCCTAGTCCTCGGGCCCCAAAGACCAGGAGGCGGGCACCAGCCTGCCAGCCGAAAGCTCGGAGCCGGGCGCTGGTGGAGGGGGCGGTGAGGGCCCGCCAGCCTGCCACCCCTGACAGCACGGTGTAGCCCAACAGGGCTGCTGGGCGCAGCAAGGGCCTGCAGGCCAGAGTGCAATGGATGATGGGCAGGGCCCCTGCAGGGGAGAAGTAGAAGGGGAAGGGGAGTCAGTGGTCAGGCAGGCATTTTCCATAGCCTGGGGCCCCACTCGTTGCTTTCCAGCCCTTCCCCAGCCAGTCCGCCCTCCTGCTCAGCTCACCAAGAGTGTTGACAAGACAAACTCCACACATATCCAGGGCCAGGAGCCGGGCATACACAGGGCTACCCCCCTGGTGGCACATGAAGAGGTGATAGAGCACGGAGCCAGCGGGGGGTGCCAGGCAGGCCACACAGTGTGTGCCCCCAAGCCAGCCGTCCTTGCCCAGCTGGCCCCAGGGCACAGTCATTGGCAGCAGCACCAGGAAACCCAGCAGAGCCAGTCCTGAGGAGAGAGACCGTGGCCCTGTGGCAGCGTCCTGCACAGGAACACTGGGGCCCAGCCTGGATGAAGTCAGGCTCAGCCTAAAGACCAAGATCAGGATGAGGGATGGGGTCAGGCTCATCCTGGGCTACAAGTTTTCAGGGAGCTGGGCCTAAAACGGCCTGGAAGTGAGGCCAGCTGCCAGTGTCCCTGCCTTGCAGATGAATAATCTGAGCTGTGGGGAGACTAGGTCACTTGCCCAAGGTGAACCTAACCAGCACTAGACAGGGCAGCCTGACCCCCACACACTCCCTCTTTACCTGCAGACACAGTGCCCCTGCCGTAGAGCAGCTTGGCAGGTGGGCAGAAGTCCCAACTTGACCTTAAGTGACACAAAATGCTGGAACCACTTAGCTTCCTTCCCTTCTCCAACCCTTGTGTCCAGTCCTCTACATAAGTGTCCAGAATAATGGAGTCGGGCTTTTGTCTTTCAAAAGGTGGCAAGGGCAGGGCCAGCCAGGGCAAGGGCCTGAAGCAAGCTTATCCCATCCAGAGCCCATTCTTTCTGGCCCCCTGTAGAGGAATCAGAACTGGGCTCCTGGCCAGCCCTCTCAAGGGTCAAACAGGCACAGCTTGGACTGCAGGACACCCCACTCCAGGTAGACTCCTGGGGTCACAGCATCCCAGCCTGGCCAGGCCTTTTGAGGATGGACCAGCTTCCAAGCCCCGCTTTCTGCCGGGGCACCTCAAGGACGGGCAGGGCTGTGTCAGCAGAGCCCCGGGGCCGCAGAGGAGGGGCCGGCAGCCTGTGGGGTGGGGAAGGAGCCGCCATTAGGCGGGGCCTCTGGCCCGCAGGCGGCCACTAGGGAGGGGCTGAGCCTCTTCTAGGGACAGGGCCATCTCTGGGTGCTTCAGGGGAAGGCGCTCAGGGCTCCAGGATTAGGCAGGGCGGGGCACCAGGTTCCTTCTTGGGGCTCAGGGGAATTAGGGGGACGTGGGCCCCACTCGCTCCCCGAGCCAGTCCCAGGGCCCCGGCAGGGGAGCGGAAGCTGGCAGTGCTGGCCGGGACAATGGCAGCGTTGTCACCGCGGCTTCTGGTCGTGCCAGGGCCAGGCGGCGCGGGCTCACCGTGCGTGTAGATGTTGCCCAGTTCGTTGTGCAGATAAAAGAGGCTGCGGAGGCACCCTGAGCCGCTGCTGGCCGGCCGGTAGCCGGTCAGCACGAACTTGTTGAACTGCAGGTGCGGTGGTGAGCTGGCCCAGTCCAGCAAGCGCGGCCCGGCCAGGAACGCCATGGCCCTCGGGCCCGTCCGCCGGCCTCCCACTCAGCGGCACCGTGCCCCCGGCATGCGCATCCCCCGCCCCGCCGGCCTCGCGGGCCCCGTCGGCGCACGCGCCGCTCAGGGGTCCCGGCTCGCGCCCCTTGGCGCTGCGCACGCGCGAGCCCGGCGCCCCCGTGCAGCTGGAGAGAGAATCGAGGACGCGCTGGAGCCCGGGCGCAGTGCGGGTCGGGCCGCGAGGCAGGCTGTCCGCAGGGACAAAGCGCAGAGGAGGTCGCTGGTTCCTCTCACTGCAGGACGGGTGCGGCCAGACGCGGGTGGGTACGCCAGGCTCCGCCCCGACTCTTCCCCCCCCCCCAGCACTGAGACAGTTGACCTTTGAAGTAGCCTCTTTTCTAGAGCGCGCCAAGTAACCGAGGCTCCGCCCCCCTCTTCCCCCCCCCCCAGCCCGCTGGCGTTTCGCGCGCTGGACACCTGACGTCAGCGCTGCCGCGGCCAATCCGCGCCACTAGACCGCCCAGGCCTTTGCCTCTTGGCATAATTTATGCAATCTCGGCTTCATTTACATGCGGGACGGTTGGCGGTAACCGATGTACTCCTCCCCAGGCACAGCTGGTTCCTCGCATGGTGCGCCCAGGCGGTCCGCCGACTCTGCAAAACCCTTGGGTACTCGCCCTTGCGGGCGCAGCCTCAACACCCAACCCACTAGTAGCCCGGGCTTTGTCCAAGGGGCTGCCAGCCCGAGTCCTAATTAGGAGAGTCTTGGCCACATCCTGCGCGTCCCCTCGCCCGGAGGACACCTCTCCTCCAGTCTGACTACCTGGAGCGGAGCAAGATGCCCAGGCTGTGATGTGCCAGAGGCACAAAAGGCCCTTGGGCGAGGCTCTGCCCCTTGGTCAAGCTAATTAATGAGCTTGCACTTGCCCAACTCGCTCCTAGTTTTCTCGCCCTCGCCTCCTCTCGCCCTCGCCTCCGCCCCGCACCTCTGGCAAAGAACAGAGGGAAAGACCCCAGAAGACAGCCCTTTTTCTAATAACCCATTCCACAGCAGGCCACTCCTGACTGTGCGGATCCGCAGTCCCCACCCTCCCAAAACCTTGGCTCCGGGATCTTTTACCCTAGTCCCATCCCCTCGCGCGGAGAACTTGCTCAGGTCTGAATCCTAATAGGTCCTTTATTAGAAGTCTGTAACAGGTCTTTGGACCTCTTCTCTTGACCCCTGACTTCTCCTGAGGGAAGTATGTCCAGGACTGTCCCAAGAGAGGCCCAAAGACTCCTGGACTCCTGGAAACAGGCACTCTCCACATATCCGGTCCACTTGAAGTTAGGCTGGGCTCTTGTATCCTTAGTAAGCTAACCATATGAACCATGAGTCAGGCCAAGGTCTCTACATAGCAACAGATACTTAATGTCCGACTCTAGCCTCCTTGAGCTGTCCAGAGGTGGAGTTGTCCATAAAGAGAAGGCCGAGATAGTGGGGGGCATAGCGTTCCAGGTATCCATCTCGCCGCTGGCTGAGTTGGACCCCCGGAGGTCCAGAGTCAGAGAGCAGAGATAAGAGAGTGCAGAGAGCTCTGTTTGGAACTGCTCAGAGGCCGGTAGAGTGCAGCTGGACCCTCGGTCTGGGGGTCCCCCGGAGGGCACGGCAGGGCCACCCCTCGGGGCCGGCGGTACCATACGGTCCAGCTTCTCCCGGGACCCCGTGAAGGTCCCAATGCCAGAGGTCCTTTCCCTGGTGTCAGTAGACAGCTCCTGGAGAAGGAGCAGACGTCAGCGGGGGCCCTTGCTATTTCACGCCTGCTTCCTGGGTGGGACCAAGGCTTCGCTCCTAAAGACCTTGAAGCGCCCTTCCAGGAGCGTGCCCTCTCTGCCCAGGCTCCCCCCCCTCCCCCCAGCGCCCTGCACCCTCGGGGCCCAGTAACCACACCTTCGGCTCAGCAGACGAAGCAGCGAGAGAAGCAGCAGCAGTAGCAAGGAGACTGCCGTCACCGAGGGGAAGACGCGAGCTACGGGGACATGGACGGAGTGAGGATGCTGGAAGGACACCGCCCTGGCCGCCTCGCCCTGACCGCTGGCCTCACCGCCCATCGCAGACTCCAGGGGACCAGGGCTAGGGCTGCAGCTGGCGTTGGCCCGGTCAGGGAGTGTGGTGGGGCTCTGCCCCGAGCCCCTGGTGGGCGAGTGCTTCTCAGGGGCGTCCGGCAGGCCTACGGAGAGGGGTGTGAGGTCAGGCACGCCGCGTAGGCTGGCGGGCGGCGGGGTGTGCGGAGGATGGGCCTCACCGCGGTAGGTGAGCGCGAAGCCCTGCGCATGGCCCCGCGCGTCGCTACGGAAGGTGAGCAGCAGCGCAGCGGTTTGCAGACGTAGGGGCCCTGGCGGCGGCGGGCGAGCGCCGTCAAAGGCGCGCAGTAGGCGGCCCGAGGTAGCGTCGCGCAGCTCCAGCCGGTCGCGTGGGTCGGCCAGTTCGAAGAGGCGGAAGGTGAGCTCCAGAGCGGTGGTCGGCGGGCCTAGCATCCAACTGCAGTTCCGGTCTGGCCCATACTCGTCCGGGAAGTCCGGGGAGTAGATGACGCCCTGAGGCGCTGTCCAGCTTCCCTGACAGGCGCCCACCGATACTGGACGCACAGGGGAGCGCTCAGGGGCGAGGCCCAACGCGAAGCCCCGCCCCAGCCAGGGCCCCGCCTCCACACTGTCCTCAAACTTACCGCCCTGCCCTCAAGTTCACCCAATCACAGCAGCAGGCCCCTCCCAGTTCCTTCTGCAGGTCCTGCCCCCAGACTGCCGGTCCCGGGGCACGTCCCCCGGGTTCTGCCCCATGTCACCTGGCCCCACCCCAAACCCAGGGCTTTGGGCTGCTCCAGGTTTCTCGAAACGTCGTGCTTGTCCCCAGGGTCCGCTCAGTCCTGTGTCTGGCCCCACCTTCAAACTCAGGGCCTGCACGATCACCCCTCAAGTCCTATCCTCAGTGCCTCCAGGTTCAGTCTCCTCACCCCACCCCCTCACCAGCCCCACTCCCCGTCATTTCTGAAGCCCCACCCACAGCCTCAGACCTCCCTCTCCTGAATCCATCTTTACCCAAGTTCCCAAGTCCCGGCCCATTCTTCACCTTCATAGATACCCAGACGCCCGTCGCCGCCACACAGCTGGCCCGGGTGGCCAAAACAGATCTGGTCGCAGTCGGTGGCTGGGGCTGGATGTCCCCGGGTCAAGTCGCTTTCAGAGCCACAGAAACAGGCATAGCCAGCCTCCACCCCTGCCAGCTGGGAGCACAGACTGGATGATGCCAGGGTCAGGTCTCGGGGTACAGGTGGGGTTCTGGGATCAGGGTCGCAGAGGGAATTCGACTAGAGACAGGAATCAGTGTCTTAAGTCTGGCGTCATGGTGGGCGCTAAGGTCAGGGGACAGTACCTCATAGCCTTTCATGCGGCAGAAGCGCAGGCACACCTGGACAGTGAGCTTTGTGGAGGTGCCACTGGGGCCGCTGAGGGCTGGGGGCGTCCCGGAGTCGACGAAGCAGCCCAGGTACCCGGGCACTGAAGGGGAGCGCGGTATTCGTTAATTAGGCTCTGGCACCTCAGAAAATGATCCCTCTGTTCAGGAACCTCAGCACCCTGCTGTGCTCTGGCTGCGTCAACTCACTGTGACATGTGGGGATGTCGCAGTAGCGCCAGTAGATACCCTCTTCTGTCTCGGCCACGTAGCACCAGGGCTGCACATCCCCATCTGGGTTCCTGTAGAAGGGGGCAGGAAGTCTGGCTCTCGGTCCAGGAGCCCAGGCTCTGCCCCGAGCCTAGGCGCCAAGTGGACATCAAGGCCAGAAGAGTTAGCTGCTCAGCTTGGCTCCGCCGATCCCAGATTCCTCAGGATTCCAGCTTCCCCACGTGCTGCTAGATGTGAACCTCCGAGGGGACAGTTCATAGATTTCAGCTGTTACTAGACAGGATATCATGTTTGAGGACCTCGCCTCAGAACCCCGCCTGTGGCATTATTGGTTTGCCACAGCTTTGCGGCTCAGCGGGTATGTGTTCAGGACACTCCGGACCGTAGGTGGGCATCCCAACCCTCAGAGAAGTGGCACTGCTCGGATCAGGCCCGCTGGCACAGACTGCTGGAGCGCAAGAGCCCAGAAGTCGGTCCTCCTTCACCCGGGCGGCCCCACCCCTGACCACGTCCTGGCCACAAGCCCTACATCACAGACCTCGGGCCTGCAGGCCCCGCCTCGCCCCGCCCATGCTCACACCCGCCCCGACCAAACCCACACACTCCAGGCTACAAGCCCCGCCTCGACCACGCCCCACACGATGACCCCTGGCTACAGGCCCCTCCCGACCACTAATGTCTCCGCCCTGACCACGCCCACTCCGGCGGACCCGCCCCTGACCGGCAGAAGTTGTGCGCGCCCAGCCCCCAGCGGCCCTGGGGATCACTCGCGCTGCTGTAGCTGTGCTGCTGCGTCTGGTCCCAGAAGAGGCAGGGGCGGCCGACCCCGCTCGGGGCCGTGTGGTTCTGGTGGCCGCGGTAGTCGGCGCCGTTCACCTGGAAGCATTCAGACAAGCCTGCCGGCGACACTGAGGCTAGGACCTCACTGGTTGTCGTCAAGCACCCACCCCACCAGCCTGCCCCGGCGCAACACCTTCTCATCCCTCTACCACCCCCCGGCTGCCCAGCTATCCTGGCCACCTTCTTGCCACTGGCAGCAACGGGAGCATCGACCAGGGTGTCAGGTCAGGGACCCGGCTACCCCCTCACCTGGGCTGTGTAGGCTGCCGGCAGAGGCCCCGTGTGGCGGCAGGAGGAGACAGAGAACCAGGAGAACCTGCAGCGCCCATGTCTCCATCGCGTCAGCTCAGGACAAGGCCCGGGGTTTCCCAGGCACTCTGCGGGGTGTTGCCTGCGGTCCGTCGGTTCCTAACTACCCTGGGGGGGGGGGTTGCTGTCCGCCGGTAGAGGAGAAGCTCTCTCTGGCCTGGCGGGATCGGTGACAGGCTGTCTCCTTTCTGCACTCAGGATCCGGCCCTTAGCCTCCACTCCTTGCCCTTTCCACTCTCTGGTGCACTGTCCCCCCTCACCCAAGTCTCCAATGCTCGGGCGCCTGCAGGAGGGGGCCCCCTCCCCGCGTTCCTGCGGGTCCCTCCTCTAGGTCCCTCCCTCCCTCTCTCCCCGCCCCCCCAGGGAGTCGGGAAGCCCCGCCCGGGACTGGCTCCGAAGAGCAGGTCCGGACGCCTCGTCGGCCCACCCCCACCCCACCCCCAACCTGGGAACCCAAGTCTCCCCTCTTCCCTTCAGAGCTGCGTCCCTACGGTGATCCAGCAGGTACTGCACAGCCAGGGAATCCTAACCCCTACAGACGGCTCCTCCTACCAGCCCCCTGCCCTTTCCCGCACCCCCAGGTCACCAGCCCCCCGCCGTCACTCAAGTGCACCCGTGCTAGACCCATTCAAAGTCAGGGCCATACATGTGCATCCCGACCCAGTCCTGGCGCCTGGGTCCCCATCGAGGTAGTAACTTCCCAGTCTCAGACCCCAGACAGGCGGGCTGGTGGGCGTGCAGACTCGATGGGCAGGGGCAGCTGGTGTCTGGGGAGGAAGGCAGCTGCGCCCCGTTCCAGCCAGCCCCTCCCTGGGACCCTCGCAGTGCTGCGGAATTCCCCGAGCGGTGCCCCCAACCTGGTGAGGGGCGGGGGCGGGGCAGGCCCGGGCAGGCGTGGGGGGAATTCCCCACCCCCTCCCCCCACCCCGCTGGCTCCTCCAGTCCTCTGATCTTCCAGCGTAGCCCGCCCACCGCCCCGGGGGGCTTGGGGGGAGGCCAGTGCAGGTGCGTGGGAGGCGGAGGCCAGGGAAAGGGAACCCAGACCAGAGATACCCGGACCCCTAGTCCCACAGTGCAGCCTGCCAGCCCCGCACCTGCCCCTGCTCCCATGTCCAGTTGGTGAACATATCTCTCCCCACCTCTCCTCCAGGCCCAGGGCAGATAGGGAAGCAAGGTGGGAGTCAGGGGTTAGTGACGCGGGTACCTCAGTGTTTCACTCCTAGGCTCTTGGGACCAGCAGTGGGTTGCAAGGAGTAGGAGCTTTCAGAAGTGGGCTTGTGGAACTCAGGGTGCACTGCATCCCATCCTGGGGAGCTCTGAGCACCCAGACTGGCCCATTCCAGGCCCCCTGCGTGGAGCCTTAGTCTCCAGCCTGACGCTCCCCAAATGGGGTGGAGGGGATGTGACCCCAGAATGACCAGGACCGCATGTGTGGAGAGGGATCAGTGGAGGGATTGGCTGGGCAAGAGAAGGATTAAATGGTTGTTCCAGGCCTTGTACATTGTTCACTGTCCACCTGCCTTATTGCCCTGGTTTGGAGAAGCCCCTCTCCTTTGCATTACAAGCATCTGCGTGTTCATGCCTTCCCTGCAAGAACATGTGGTCATTTGGCTGTCCTTACAGGTGGGCAGCTTAGCTCATTGACTCCCCCTAAAATATATTAGTGCTGCCACTGAGATCGGAGGCTGCTGGATATAGCGCCCCCTCACCTGAGCCTGCAGGTCCTGCCAGGTCCCTGCTGCGGCTTGACACCAGGTGCTCCTAGGTGCCAAGAGAGAGACCTTTCCAGTGGCTCATCTCCTGGACTGGGAAACTGAGGCCAGAGACACCACAGCCCACCTCCCCCAAGTCTGAGCCCTCACTTCCACCCAACAGTGGCACTGGTGAGTTTCCTCCAACCAATAGTCAGAGATAACTTGACATGAGGAAGGGAGCCAAAACGTGGGGTGGGCAGTCCAGGTGGACTGGGGGATACTCCCTCCAGACTGTATGCAGGAGACCTAGAGAAAGTAGGGACATCTGGAAAAGGAGGGCCACACCACTGTGGCCTCACTTCACTGACAAGGTAGACTCAATTCAGTCACCATTTTCTCCATCTTTCCCAGCAGCTTTTGGGGCCCACCCCTCCTGTGATGGCCTGGGGAGGGGTGGGCTTTCAGTCGGAGTGGGTACAGACACAGAAGTACTTGATGGTGAGATCTCAGAAAACAGGATTTATTGGCAGGGCAGGAAGTGCAAGCCGAGCAGAAAGTAGTCAAGCTCACAGCTGGACAAAGGCTGCAGGCTGGGGTTTCAGGGAGATGACCTCCTGCACCATGTGCTCCCACAACCACAGGCAGGAAATGGATAGGGACTGATAGGGAAACTCGAGGTAGAGGGTGTGACCTTGAGGGCACACCCCCAGGGTCCCCAACAGCCATCAGCCTGGCCTCTACAAAGCTACCCACCCACAGGACAGAGGGATGTTCCAGTGGCTACAGGATCTGCCTGCCTTCATGCTTCATAGGAAGAAACTAAGGAGCTCCTGGCTGTGGTCAGGAGTGTCTGTCCTGAGTCCTGGGCTAGGTTCCCACACCCAGGAGTCTGAAACCTATGCCATGGGGGAGGGACACTGGGCTTATTCAAGGTGGCAACAGCCAGGGAAGGAAAGGTGATGGACACTGTGAGGATCCTCTGGTCTGGCTTGCTATGAGGTGGGTGGGGCTGTGGCTGCACAGATTATCAAGCAGCCAAGGGCCTTGGAGGTCCACCTGGCACCATCCATGGACGCCAGAGGACAAGTACCAGTGGGTAGGGATGTGCCCAAAGTGCTACTGCACTGTGGGAGCCAGAGCAGGCTATGTGGGAAAGGCCTGGGTGGTGCAGATCCACCTCCTGCAGATAGTGCTGCTGGGCTGGGCAGCAGCTGACCTGGGAGATAGTTGTTCAGGTTTCTGTGCGTCAGGCAGAAGCAGCAGCCACGACCTTGGCCAGCTTAACAGGCCTCTGTAGGTTGGGAACCCTGAGCACTATGGAGCCTGGGGGCATCAAAGAAGCATTCCTGCTGGCTGACCTCTGGGGGAAACCTGAAGGCTCTTGGTGGATGCTCTTGGGAGTGTGGAAGGAAGCATCTGTCAAGCAAAATCTAACTGGATGGAAGATGGTGGTTCCCATGTGGACATGAAGTGTCCTTGATGCCTGGGATCCAAACAGTAGCACCTCTGCTCTGGTGGGGAAGAAGGTTCTGTGTCATGGTGACTTGCTGTCCATTTTCACACTTGTGATTTTCCTGATCACAAAGAAACATGTGCTTTAGGAAAAGTAAAACATGACAGGAACAGAAGAAAACTGAAACAATATAGGATTCCTGTAACACCCTTTCCTATATCTAAGTTCTAACCCTTTTTCATACACTGGAACTCATTCTAGTGTTTTTATACATACATGTTTTTATACATGCATGTGTGTACTGCTGTTGACTTGATGTCTTTTAATATAGATCTTTACAGTTATGAATTTCCCTCAAAGAATGGCTTTAGCTGCATCTCATGTGTTCTGATATATGATGTCCTTTCATTAACAGAAGGAAGCAAGAACCACAGGGAGATAGACGCTAAGTACTGATAAAATATAGGAATTATAATCAATGTCATAAAAAAAGGTTGAATTTCAAAGTAGTCTCTAAGTTTTTTGTCTTGGGCCCATTATTTCTTTAGGAGTATGACATCTGCTTTCTACGTATTTGTAAATTTCCCAAATTTCTATGACTGATTTCTGCTTTTATTCCACTGTGGTATAGAGAATGTACTTTGTATGACTTTAATCCTTTCCCAATCTATGGAAGCTTTTTTTTTTTTATGGCTTAGCATACTCAATCCTGAAGAATGTTTCATGGGTGTTCAAGAAGATTGTGGTTGGTAGCTTCCTTTGTTCTCTCTGGGACTGCTCTCTCTGGGAGGAAGCTTGCTTCTGTACATGGAGAACACCCAAGCCGGTCAAAGGAGAGGACCTATGATAAGGAACAGCAGCCTCCAGCTAACAGCCATGTGAATGAGTCAGTCACTTAGAGTGCAGGCCCTCGTCTCAGTCAGGATTTCAGATGACTGCAGCCCCAGCTAACATCTCCAACTTCATAAGAGACTCCAAATCAGAACTACTCAGCACCAACTACTCCCAAATTCTTGACTTATAGAAACTCTGAGAGACCATAAATATTTGATGTTATGCCACTAAATTTTAGCCCTCTTATGAAGATGTGTTAGAGAGATAATATAATTACCCATAAAGCTGCTGGCTCTCTGGAGAACAGGTCTTGAAGCATAGTTGCACTTTTGGTAGAAGTCTGGTCTTTTCTGAGGAAAGAAAATATTGAAAAGGTGGATCAATAAATCGTTTTGTGTTGGATTAATAAATTTTGAGGAATAGCTCTTTAATGTGACTTTATGAAAGCAAGGGTGAACTCCATCCAACTAATCCTACAATCTGGTTTCTGACACTGATTACAATCCCTGCATTACACCAGCACTCTTCTCCACTTCCCAGGGAGATTTTGTCAATAAAGACCTGAAGATCTTGAGGATTTAAAAAACAAAACACCACCAAGTGATTGATATGGAGAGTCACTGGAAATTCTGGTTTTCTAACACCTCAAAACTGTGTCTGATACTAGAGACCCATAAGGGTCCATCTTCAGCCATGTCACCAAAAAGATGGAGGATCAACTGGATATCAAAGATGCTCAATAATTATTACCAATGAGTTATCAATGGCAAGTCACACCTTCCACTTCCTGTTGAAGTCAAACTATACACATACAAGTCTTTCTTTTTGCTCCCCTATGGGTGGAAACCAAGTTTCTTTTAAACAATTGGCTGTTAGCGAAAGGCCAGAAATTCTAATCCACCAGCTGCTGGGGCAGGGGGCGGGGGGGCTGTGGCAGTCTGCCGTCTGCCTCCACAGGCCAAGGCTTTGGAAACCTATGAGCAACTCTACTCTGTCCCACAGGATTGCCAGGAGTTGGTTTGGAATCAATTCCATGGCAGTGCGTTTAGGGTTTTTGGTTTTATTTACTTGTTTGTTCCTCTCCACCACTTGTTTATTTGTTTATACAATTTTTATTCATTTCTCTGCTTTTTAAGACAAAACCCTTAATATGTAGGCAAATTAATATGAGACATGTAATACTTTGTAAAGACTGGTTTTATGATCTATTTCTGTGAAGGAAATTCACTTTTCAGTTAATGAAATGAATCCTTTAAAAGGATTGCCGTGTACATACAAGAATGTGCATGTGTGTCAGTATGTGTATGTGCACGCGCGCACACCCATACTGCACACAAATGTACAGACCTGAAAGCAGGGCCGCAAGTGCTGTAATACATACATTAACCCCAGGATCAAACCAACTGCTGTCCAGCCGATTCTGACTCCTAGTGATCCCCCAGCAGGCTTTCAGTTTTTATGGGAGGAGACTGCCCATCTTTCTCCCCTGGAGCAGCTGGTGGATTCAGACTCCTGACCTTTCAGTTAGCTATGCAGTATGTCACCATGTCTATGAAAGCTCCCCCATGAAGACATTAGCAGTCAACAAGACGGACTGACAAAGTGACTGTAACAACAGGCTCAGCCAAGTCTGAGGGCACGAGAACAGCCTGAGATAGTGTTCATAGGGTCGCTGTGAGTCACAGTTGAAACATAACAGCAATGGCCTGACTTTTTTATTAGATTTTTCAAAGGGAGATTATGATTAGCAAAAAGTTAAGAGGCTTTGGAAGCCAAGAGAGGTGAAGACAAGAGCTAAAGGGGAGTTGTTTATAGGACAGGATCAATTTAGGTGTGCTTCCACTTTAGAAAAAGGAACCAGTAGAGGGGAGAGGTGGAAGAATAACTGACCACTGAGGCTTCTGTCCTCTGGACAAGGTAGCAGCCCACAGCTGCCCTGGCGTTGGCTCCCGCTCCTGGTGACCACGTGTCAGGGAACTGCCCCTCACAGGGTTTCAGAGCTGTGGCTGTTCTGGGGGTTTCCAGGCCTTTCTTCTGAGGCACCTCTGGATGGATCTCAACTGTCTATTGCCGCAGCCCATTCCTATGCCATCCCCTACCCCTCCTCCCCATCTGTACCTGGGACTTCCTGCTGGGCCAGGCTGGGGAGCTGTTCCCGCTGCCGCAGGGCCTCTAGGCCCCCCAGGTCCGGCGGGTGACAGTGTCCCCGCATCACGGTCACCCGTGGACCCTGAGTAATGGCCCGGCTGCGGCAGCCCAGCCGGGCCTGGTCGCGGCACATCCAGTACACCTTGTCCCCAGCTGCCTTCTCCTTCCTGTAGAGAAAGGACTCGTGCACCAGGAAGCGGCCCCCGAGAGAGGTCCTCAGGAACTCCAAGGGCCGGAGAGCTCCTAGGGAGAAGACACAGTTAGCAGAGCCAGGGGCCAGGCCAGGCCAGCAGGCAGCCTGTGGGGGATGCACCCCAGGATGGTCAGCCTGGCCACCTGAGAGTCTCTCATCTGACAGGACAGTCACATGTGGTGAGACCTCACCTAGCACAGTCATCTCCATGATGAGAACTGCTGTGAACAGCAATTTAGTTGAAAGGGAATTTTACTAGAACATGGCCTGCACTGAATACAGACAGACAGTGGGCTCGGCTCTCTTGCTTTTTGCTTCACTGGGATCCTGCATCTGGCTGGTCACATCCATTCTCTGGACTAGAACCACTGGCTTCCCTTACCTGGAGACCTTAGCTCCCTCAGCCGCTGTAGCTCCGAGGAGGCCTCTCTCCTGAGATCAGGAGATCCTGGGACTTGCTAGACTCTAGATGCACATGAGCCATTTCCTTTACATCTCTCTGTGTGTGGATAACTACATATATGCATATACATAAAGTTTCACTGCTTTTGTGTCGATGGAGAAGCTGGCCTAGGACAGGCACCTTGCCCCAACCCTAGCAGAAGCCCTGTAGTCCAACCTCACCAACACAGCTGGCCCACCCTTGTGGCCCAGTGTTGCCCTGACCACACACTGGATGAGAGTCCTTTGTGGCACCCTCCCAGCCAACCCCCTGGGCTCGCTGGATCCTGACCCGTTCCTTAGCAGACTGGCAACTACCCAGTGACCTCTGATGATGTTCAGAACCTTGAGCAACTTAAGAACCTGACCTGAGGGTCACTCAGGCCAGGTGGAAGCAGAGGAGAAAGCTGGAGGGTGAAGTGGGACAGAAACAAGAACCCCAAGATGGGGAACAGAGTGGCCAGGCTGTGTGATGCAGGATGAGGCATAGCTATGCCCACAAGCGTCCAATAATGCCGGCTCCATCACCCCACACCCACTCCTTCCCTGGCAGCCTAAGCGGTTCCTCCCATTGCCCACCCACCCTGCCTCTGAACAGGAGGGTCATGGCTATGAGCCTGCTCTGCTGCTCTCAGCCAAGATAGATGGATGGGACATGGACTCACAGGGTGTGGGCTGTGGCAGGGATGCCCCAGCAGGTGGTCTTGGCTTGTTTGCAGGGGGACAGGGTCCCGGAGCCGCCTCCCCCCGTACCTCGGCCTTCCCGCTGGGCCAGGCTGGGGAGCTGCTCCCGCTGCCGCAGGGCCTCCAGGCTGCTGAGGTCAGGAGGGTGGCTGTGTCCCCGCATGACAGTCACTCGTGGGCCTTGGGTGATGGCCCGGCTTCGGCAGCCCATGCGGGCCTGGTCCCGGCAGGTCCAGTACACCTTGTCCCCAGATGCCTTCTCCCGCCGGTACAGGAACAGGTTGTGCACCAGGAAGCTGCCCCCCAGCGGGGTCCTCAGGAACTCTGGGCCACCTGTAGGGGGCCAGACATGGTCAGGGGCTTGATGGAGAACCGGGAGCCCAGGCCTTGGGGGTAGAAGTGAGGTGGAGGGTAAGTGTACCCTATTCTCAGAACCAGGAGCAGCATGGCTTCTGGGGGGACTTTCCAGCTGCTCCCCATCCTGTAACCCCTCCTTAGCCTTGAACCAGACTGGCAGCCTCTGGATCAGGGCCCAGGATGCACAGCCTGGCTCCTAAGCCTGGCATGGCCAGCAGCCACCTGGAGCTCCCTTCCTGAGGGCCTGTAGGAGGCAGAAGTCTATTCTGTCTACTCCATGTTCCCCCAGCATGTAGCTGCCACTCTCTAAGGACCTGCTGCACTGGAGGCCCTGAGCTCAGGAGCTGTGTGACTTGGCAGGTGTAGAAGGGCCTGGTTCACCCCGGCCAGGACAGGCTGGGCAAGGATGTGACCCAGAGGTCTTAGGCAACAGAAAGCAGGGGGGCTGACATCTGAAATGAGCTAAATGGGAGCACCTTAGCCATGGCCCTGCCCTCTTCCCACAGGTCTCCTTCCTCTATCCCATCAGGAGGTGATGGGGACACTGAGGGAGGTCGGCCGGGTGCACTAGCAAAAGCTGCCTGTCTCACACATGGCAACAGAAACCAGCAGGTCACAGAGCTGGTAGGGGGGTAGGCTCAGAGTCCTACATGTCCCATAGCACAGAGAGGAAGAGAGACACTGTCAGGTGCATGGAGTGTTGGAGGAGGCAGTCCTCAAGGACTCTTGCTCTGGAAAGTCACCAGGAGAGGGACTTCACAGAACAAGAAAGAGAAGGATGCAAGGGGAGTTCAGAGAAGGGGCCCCAGGGCCCAGAAGGATGATGGGAGGGATCGTGCCAGCAAGGACTGGAGCCACGAAGGTGGGATAGGCGTGGGGAAGGAGTTTTATTGCCAGCATAGCTCTGTGGAGGGTACATGAGAAGCCAGACAAACAAAGTGCTCTGAAATGACTTACTGAGCGGTGTGTGACCTCCACACACATATGTCAGTTTGACAAGGCCGTGATTTTTGATATGATGTGTGATCTTTCATTTTGTGATCTGATGCCATTATCCTGAATGTTAATGGGGCGTTGGTGCCGTAGCTGGTTACCCATTGGGCAGCTAATCCAGTCTGGGAGCTCGAGGCCACCTCAAGCTGCACAGGAGAAAGGTTGATAGCCTCAAAAACCAGACAGCGCTGCCTTGAATCAGGATCAAGGTGGTGGTAGTGGGCCTTGGGGAGGATGTTATGAGAAGTAGGATATAATCTACAGGACTAGGTTAACTCTTGAGTCAATGTCTTTTGAGGTATACAAGAGTAAGCAAGTGAGCAGCGGGACCAGCTACCACTGGGAGAGAACAGTCAAGACAGAGCAGGTCCTCTGCACCCTACTTCCTAGAACCAGGGGAGCTGAGGCCATGACACATGGAGCGCTCCAAGGGATGCTGGGCCCACAGGAGCTGAGAGAAGGGCCAGAGCTGACAGAGAAGGCATTCCCCTAGGTATGGCACCCTGAATCCAGACTCCTCGCCTCTGAAATTGTGAGAATATGTTTCTGTTTGTTAAAACCACTCCCTTAGGGAGCTCTGGTGGCCTAGTGGCAAGAAGCTGCACTGCAATGCCAGAGACGCACGGTTCGAATCCACCAGATGCTCTGCTGGGGAAGGAGGGGCAATTTCCTCCTGTACCAGTCAGATCTGATTTAACGGTACACACACACAAAATAATAACATTAAAAAAACCCAAAAAAAACCCCCAAAAAACCAAAAAAACCCCCACTCCCTTGTGGTATGTCTGATAGAGCAGCTCAAGATAATGAAGACAGGTGAGACAAATGAAGTCCTGTTTTCTCTTGCTGTGAGGAGAATCAGCAGGTGGTGCAGAATGGCTGCTGTGGAGTGTGTGTGTTCTGACTTAGCCTGATCCCCTGGATGCCACCACAGCATTTTTCAGTGTTGTGACCCTTCAGAAGCTGACTGACAGGCCTGTTTTGGCTCCTAGTACAGTCAATTCACCAACTTTTGTCTTAGTAGTAAGCAGACAGCCATTTCTGACACCCCAGGACAACAGGGGAATAAGCATGGGTGTGGTTTAGGAAACTGGGCAGCAAGTACCCAGAGAAGGAGAGGAAAGAGCTCAGAGTGGTTAAGTGGAAGGATGCTGGGCTGAGGCATAAGAGCTCTTTATGGCACAGTGGTCAGAACATTTTGCTTCCAACAAAAAGGTTGGCAGTTTGAGCCCACTAGCTGCTCCATGAGGCAGTATGTATGTAAGATTACAGCCCTGGAAACCTGAGAGCAGTTCTTCTACTCTGTCCTCCAGGGTCCCTAAGTCAGACAGACTCAATGGCAGCAGGATTTGGGTGTTCTGGGTATTCTAGTGGTGCAGCTGAGTTTGGGCTCCTATGAGCCTCACTCCATATCTGCACATGCACACAGATCAGATGGAATGAAGAGATTCATGCAGAGGGAGGAAACAGATCAAGGTTGAGAGAAGGTGACTAAGAAGGTGGCAGGTGTGGGAGCTCTGAGCAGAAAGGCCTGCAGGTAAACAGAGCTGGGCAGGTGACAGGGCTCCCTGCAAGGAGGTTTTCACATTGTGACCCGAAGATTCAGACCACCAGAGGCACTGTGGACAAGGTTCAAAGTCAAATGAAAAGTACAACACCATTCCCAAGACACCTTGAGTTTGGAACTGAACTCACTCCTGTGGCTCACTTTTTCAGCCAATAACACCAGGAGGAATTTCTTAGACCAACCATATAAGGTCAGAAGAGCAGCATTTTCCAAGGATAAAGCCCAGAAGTAGGAAAGAATAGGACAGAAGATTAGGGGACACAAGAATCACAGGGCAGGAGCGGGAAGAGTGCAATTCCATTGTGAGTATTATAAACAGCATAAAGCAAGATGTGTTTGGCTGTTTCAATAGAAAATCAATCTGCTTTGTAAATAAATGTTCACTCAAATAATAATTTTTAAAAACAAATGGAAAAGGAGATAGAGGAAGATGAGCATGGGTTAAGCAAACATCACTGAGATTGGGGTCAGTGGATAGGCAGCATGGTCCCCCTTAAGAAGAACAAGAAACTGCAATCCCAGAGGTATGCAGTTTGAATCCACCAGATGCTCTGCTGGAGAAGGAGGGACAATATCCTTCTGTACCAGTCAGGTCCAATTTGACGACACACTCACAAAAAATAATTTAAAAAAAAAAGAAAGAAAGAAAGAACAAGGAAGGTAGAAGTGAGGAAAGAACAAAGGAGAGAGGCTGTAACTCCTTCCAGAAGGTTCCAGGAAGAAAAGGCCCTTTCAATGCCCTTGGTACCTGTTGCTCCGCGCTGGGCTGAGCTGGGGCGAGTTTCCCGCTGCCGCAAGAGTTCCAGGCCACTCAGGTCAGGCGAATGGCTGTGTCCCCGCATGACGGTCACTCGTGGGCCCTGGGTGATGGCCCGGCTGCGGCAGCCCATGCGGGCCTGGTCTCGGCAGGTCCAGTACACCTTGTCTCCAGATGCCTTCTCCCGACGGTACAGGAATGAGTCATGTACCAGGAAGTTGCCCCCCAGGGGGGTTTTGAGGAACTCAGGGCCACCTGCAAAGAGGCCAGTCCCGGTCAAGGGGTGGGATGTAAGGAGATGGGGCAGGAGGTGGTGAGTGGAGGGGCCGGGCCACCTGACTTTACCACACACAGGCCCTGACCCTGGGGAAGCTGGCCAGAGCCTTCTAGGGCCCAAACAGATAGACTCACCTCCTTCTGAGTCCTGGTCCTTGGCTGGGGATCCCTGTGGGCCTGGGGGCTGACCCTTGAGCCCCTGTTCTTTGGGTCTGGTGTGATTCCTGGGCCTGGGTCTGCTGAGTGTCAGGGAGCTGGACCCCCTGCGGTAGAAGAGACTGTCCATGCCTTGCAGCAGCTTGTCCGCAGGGCCGCCCACGTGCAGTGACTCCATGGCCTTCTCCTGCTGCCGGCGCGCCTCTAGGCCCTCCACATCAGGCAGGTGGCTGTGGCCCCGCATGATAGTCACGTGTGGGCCCTGGGTGATGCCACGGCTGCGGCAGGCCTGCATTGCATGCTCACGGCATGTCCAGTACACCTTGTCCCCCACGGCCTTCTCCCGCTTGTATAGAAATGACTCATATACCAGGAAACTGCCCCCGTAGCACGTCCTCAGGAATTCCAGGGGCTGCACCTCACCTAAGGGAATCCTGGATGTTACCATAAGGCAAAGGGATGGGGACAAGCTCGTTGTGAATTCATGGTTTCCGGGGGACCTTTGTGGAGTGGGACAACCCTAGTGGCCATGTGCCTTTTTCATTCCATTATTACCATTTGCTACATACATTCCTGAGTCAGGCTTATTCTCTGAGCATATTCTTATTAAAGGTTGAACTGTGTCCCCAAAACAGGTTATGTTCAAATCCTGCAAATTTAACCTTGTTTGGTAATACTGTCTTTGGATATGGAATCAAATTAAAATGAGGTCATACAGGGATAAGTCGGGCCATACACCAATGAGGGTCTCCAGATGGTGCAAAAGCTGATGGGTTCAGCTGTTAACAAAATGCTTGGATGTTCCAACCAACCCAGAGTCCAGGAAGAAAGGCCTGGCAACCTTCCCACAGGCCACACCCACTGAAAGTTCTAAAGAATTTTCACTGACACAGGATTGTATGATCAGCTTGACAATCAGCACCACTTATAGCTGCTACCCCCAAACATAAGTGACTACTGTTGGGTGCTGTGGAGTCAGTTCTGACTCTAAGACCCCACAGGGCAGAAAAAGGCCTCCAGCAGGTTTTTCCTCAGCTATTAACTCACTTTCCCCCGAGAAAGCTGCTGGGGGTTACCTTTAAGTGAGCAGCTAAGCACCTAACTGAGCTATCAGAGCACCTATTACACGGCTGTCAGGTAAAAATTTCCATTTCTTGGACCCCCACCAAGTCCCTGCTGCAGGGGACCCAGGTCATTGTCCACACCCCTGGTTCAGGGTAGGCTGAACCATTACGGGGACCCACATCTCTAGGCGAGCACAGGGTATGGTTCATGTGACTTCGGGTGGTGGGGGTGCTCACTTGTCTCTGGCTTCGGCCGCTTCTTGGGGGGCAAGCTCAGTAGAGACAAGGCCTGAAGTCCCTTGTCCTCCTCCTGGGTGGGCCTGTCCTGCGAGGGGGCCGGCTCTTCTGGGTGCAACCAGGAGCCTAGCCCCTCCAGCAGCTCCTCTGCAGGCTCTCCGGGGCCCCCTGCGCTCTCTGGCACAGCCGGGATGGGCAGCTTCTCTCTCCGGCGCCTGGCCTGCAGGCCCTCCCGGTCAGGGGGGTGGCAGTGGCCCCGCATGACGGTGACCCTCGAGCCCCGGGTGATGGCGCGGCCCCGGCAGCCATGCTCGGCGTTCTCGCGGCACTTCCAGTACACCTTGTCGCCCACGGTCTTCTCCTGCTTGTACAGGAAGGAGTCATGGACCAGCAGGCTATCCCCGAACGGGGTCTTCAGGAATTCCAGGGGCTTGAGGGCTGAGGGTCCAGGAAGAATGCACAGGTATGTGACGCCGCGGGCTGCAGTGCGCACTTGGGACTCCACCTTTCCCCTCCCGCTTTGTTCCATTCCCTGGTTTGGAGTACGTGCCCCGCCCACAGAGCGCAGCCTGAGCCCACACTCCATGCTGGTTGGTGTGCCCCCTGCTGACTGGCAGTTTGTGCCCTCCCAGCTGGGGTGCCCCCTCCTGGCGCTCCCACTATGAGCTAGGGTGCCCTTCCCGGCTGGCACATACCCTATGGGCGCCCCCTACCGGCTGAGGTCCCGCAGCACAGGCACACCTGTTTCCAGTCGGATGCGTTTGGGGTCGGGTGCCCAGGTGCTGGGTTGGATGTTGTCCTCTTCCTTGGCTGGCAGGATCTGGAGGGCCTTGGTCAGAGTGTCGGGGCCGGACATCTCCAGGGACATCATACAATGACCACTTATGGGCCGGAGGCCAGTGCATGGCGACTGTGGCCAGAGGCTGAGAGCAGGACGAGTCTGGGGAACTTCTTGGGTATCCGGGGGGCTGCGGGGATGAGGTTTGTGATGGGCTTGCGGGCAGGTTCCTGGCTCTTGCCCTCCTGCTCACTGGGCTCCGGCAGGGGCATCGTGGGGGCCCAGGCCGGTGGATGGTGGTCAGCACCTCCTGAGGTCCGGTGGCTCCTTCCTAGTTGAGGATGCAAGGTTCCAGTCAGCAAGATCTAGGCTCGGGAATGGGTGGGTGACAGAGTCTGGGCAGATGGGCTGGGAACACACATTACATTCCTGCAGGATGAAGCCCTTCTCGGAGTATGGCAGGGATCAAGTACAGTAGTAACTCAAAGGCACTGCATGGTAAGAGCCTTGTCTGGTTCTCGCATTTGTTCCTTTAATCTTTCAGCACACATTATGATCTAGTTTGCAAGCAGGACCCAAGAGCCCAGAATTGAGTCTGCGTGGATCCAGAACTGTCCCCATGCGGGCCCGTGCTTGCACGCACAGGGAGAACAGTGGAGCAACATGGTGCCAAGCCTGGGCACCAGCACTTCCGGAGCATGAACTCTGGGCACATACCAGTCCTGATGGAGGAAAGTCCATGCCTCACTGCAGAGGAGAAACTGAGGCAGAGAACAACAGCACACCCAAGGATGAAAGTGCAAAAGCTGAAACTCGCTGTCACTGCAGATCACAGCACTGTGCTGGGCCCTGGAAGGGGCCTTCTGAGGCCTGGCCCCCAGCTCTGAGGCCCAGGGCTACTCCAGCCTACTATTGGCCCTCAGGAGATACCCAGGGCCCCATACCAGCAGGGCCAGCAGTGCTGATGGTGGCAGCCAGGCAGGGCTGGGTGGGAGAGGTGTTTGTAGGACCCATGGCACTTGGGAACTGGTTCCATACTTCCACCTTTGTGAGGGTGGCCTTTTGAGAGGCACTGAATGGTGAGCAGATGGTGGGATCCATCCCCTCTTTGCAGACCCAGCCCCTAAGACCACAAAGCCCCTGACATCAGAATGCCTCAGGCTAGTTCTGTGTTTCATTCTCACAGGTCCCTCATTTCTCACCACACTGGGCTCCATAGCCACTCTGCTGGCCCCAAAGCAGGAACCCTGAGGGTCCTGAAGGGGTGAGCTCTCTCAAGATAGTCAGGAATGCAGCCAAAGATGGTAAGACAGTGAGGCTGAACCCCCAACCTACTGCCATCTGCATCCCACATGAACCCCTGTCCTGAGGGGGCTGCAGGATGGGACTTGGACAACACTGATGGTTAGAGGATCCTGGGCCTCTCAGGCTGCCTGTCCCTGGGTCAGCTACCCTAGGTTCTTCCCAGCCTGGCCCATGTCACCCTATAGGGCAGCGTGGTGGCCTGGGGAGCCCTGGGGACTGAGCTAAGACTCTTTACCCTTGGGCATATTCAGGCATCCCTCATTTTAAGCCCATGCACTCTGCAGACTCTGCATTCTGTACTAAGGAAAGGGCGCAGTAGCACTATCCTGAGGAAGCTTTTCTATGCACTGAGAAAACAGAAACATTTGTGTGACTCACTTTCTTGTACTATTTGTTTTAACGTGATTGGAACCGAACCTGTAATACCTGAAGTCCACCTGCAAATCCAGGCACTGGAGCCCATTCTGACGCAGTGACCTCCCTTCAGGTTTCATGGGGTAAATCTTCATAGGAGAACAACTGACCATCTTTCCCCCAAAGAGCAGCTGGTGGGCTCAAACTGTTGGTCTTTTGGTTATGCCACCACAGGACAGTAAATCAGAATCAATTCTTCAAGAATCTCTGTAATGGGTGAGAAACCTTAGTGGCACCATGTGTAAAGTGCTGGGTTGCCTCCACAGTGGAGAGTGTGGCATTTGTTTTTCTATTTTTGTAACAAACTGTACACAGCAATGTCCTTCACAGTGCTGAAGGGTTCTCCCTCCATTGTGGAGCTCAGCCTTTGGGGAGTTGGGATCTTGAAGTTTTCCTCAGTGTAGAACCTTCAGCAGAATCCTCAGCATGAGGATTTCCCCTGGTAGTGGTAGCTGCAGCATCTCTAGCTGACCTGCCAGCAGGTCCTTTCTCAGTGTTCCCTGCCTCCTTTTCCGACTCCCACCTCTGCTGTCTAGGGCTTTCCGGGGTTCCTAGGTCTCTTCTCTCCTGAGACAAAAGCTACTAGAAACCTCCCTGCCATGGCCCATACTTCCTCCTCCTTCACCAGGCCGTTTAGTGGCCACCCCTCACCTCCCACACCACCCCGAGCTACCACTCAGCACAAACACAGGAAGGCCTGTGGGCAGCATGCAGCCAGAGGCCATAATTTTCCCAGGAGGTGTCCCTGACAGCATTTCAGGGCCTGCTGACTGGAAGGGCAGTTCAAACCCCCCTATGGGAGAGAGAAGAGGCAGTCTCCTCTCATAGACATGACAGCCCTGGAAGCATGGAGGGTAGTTCTCTGTCCCCTGGGCTTGTGGTGAGCATGCTGGATGTGCGCTCTGCTGGGCTGCAGTAAAGCACTCAACTGATAACCAGGAGGCTGGCAGTTTGAACCCCCTTGATACACCATGGGAAACTGATAGGCAGTGTCCTCCCTTAAGGATTCACAGCCTTGGACGCCATGAGAGGCCTGCTATGATTCAGAACTGACTCAAGGACAGTGGGTTTGAATCTCGTTTTCACCCTCAGGTGGGGACACAGAAAGCAGGGTTTGTGCAGAGGGCTGGGAGGGGCTGGGGGACAAAGGAGCTAGAGACTGAAAGGGCCAGGTGCTGCTGTGTTCTGCAGTGGGTCCAGCAGGACCCCCAGAGACCGTGAAGAGAGATAAGGGGAGCTAGGGGCTGAATCTATGGTGGCTGTGGACCTGGTGGATGATATAGATCTGCGAGACATGGTGGCAGGAGGTTCTAAGGATTCAGCATACGAGCTGGCAGGAAAGCTGCTCTGAAGCAGTCACCGCAGGGATGAGGAGCCGCAGTGAGGAGTCACCTGGCTGAAAGAGGACGTGCTTCCTGAGCCTGGCTGTCAAGGCCATGTTTGCAAAAGTGCAGCTACAGATTAGCACAATACAGTGTCCACCTCATGGACGCTCCTGAGGCACACCATCTGGTGTGTAACTTTCTCTTCTTCCTTTCATCACCTCAGGTAAATTGTAGTATACTGCATTTTTAACTGAAGGGAGGGTTACCATGGCTTAGAACCACCTCCTCAGCAGTGGGCTTGGCTTTTGTGGGATATTCTCAAGGAAAGGAAGTACTCAAGGTGGAGGTGGAATTACAGTGTAACTGTGACTTCCCTTTTGGTTAAAGACAGAGCCTGACTGTATCACTTTGGATATATCAGAAATGAGTTTGCTTAAGCACACATGCCATAAAGGGAGTGAGCACTGTAATAAAGTCAGTCACAAGTGGTTTTTGGTTTCCCAAAGTGCACAGAAAATATACGTTGAACTATGCTGAAGTCAAAGATTGCAATAGCATGATGAAAAACATGAGATATTACGAGAATGACCACAGTGTGACAGATGCTGAGCGAGCATATGGTGCTGGGAATAAGGTGCCAACAGACTTCCTCGAGGCAGGGTTGCCCCACAGCTGCTCTTTGGGAGGAAGATGCGGCATCTGTAAAGAGCACAGCTGTGAAAACCTCTCAGGGTTCCAGGGACTCTCAGTCACCCTTCAAGTATGGAAGTGACATCAGCCTTGTAAGTCAACTGTCTGCCAAACAGTAGGTCTGTCTATCCGGTGCACAGTAACGTGGAAGAGGAAGGCACTCCTTGGAACAGCCAACCACGCAGATCAAAAGGGCACAGCTAGCCTGGGGATAAAGGTCAGGAGGCAGGAAGGGCCAAGAAAGAAGGATGAATGGAAACGGGAAACAGTACAAAAGTAGGAGTGCTGTTACAACGAGGGGTGTAATCAATAATCAGTGTGATGAAACATGTATGGATTGTTGAATATAAAACCAATTTGCTCTGTAAATCTTCACGTGGATCACAATAAAAAGTTAAACCTAGAGAAAACTGGGAAGAGAAAAGAAATTCTAATGGGGCAGTTGTACCCTGTCCTAGGGCCGCTGTCCAGTCGGCTCTGCCCCCGGCCACCCTCCACAGTGTTCTCGAGGCTGTGAGTCTTTATGGGAGACCACTGAGCTTTCTCCCTTGGGTGTCTTGTAGATTCCAACCATTGGCCTTTCAGTTAACAATTCAAGACTTAACCCACTGCAACACCAGGACTCTACACCTCATTCTATAATGTCATATAAGTCAAAAGTGACTTGAAATCAATGAGGCAATTTATGTAACCGGGTTCAGTGAGAAAAAGGAAGTCCCTCAGTGAGCGACACAGTGGCTCCAACAGCTCTGCACAGCAGGGATGGTAAGGATGGCAACCACCGCTGAGCCAGGCAGACAGGGCAGAAACTGACATCACTGACAAAACAGCGTGAAAGACCGAGAATTAGGGAAACAGAGCACGCGGGCTATGGGAGAGACAATGCCAGCAGACTGGATGGCACCTGCCATAACAGGTGCCTGGCAGCAGGCCATGCATCTCATGACAAGTGCTAATTTTATTTTCAAAAGAGCTTCTCCAATCAGATCCACTGTTGTTTCTTATTCCAGAGGACAGAGGCAAGGATTGGGCTTAGGTTTTATTGACCTAGAGTTAACCCAGTCAGGGACACAGCCAGCTTCAAACACGGGGGTCGGCTGTGACATCACTAAAGCACTTGACTCAAAGTTAGAACAGGGCTCGTTTTACCGAACAGAGCAGGAAACCAAAGTCACTGGCTGGAGCTCACTCCAAATTACAATGGTTCCTGAAAGGCTTTTGAGGTTGAAGGACACTATCCATTCTTCCAAGAAACAGCTAGTAGTCACATTGACTCTATACCTTTTGGGCTGATGACCTAACAGGTTAACACACTACACTACCAGGGCTCCAATGTTTCAATGCATGGGGAACCTTGTGCGGTGGTTAAAGTGCTGGGCTGCTAACCAGAAGGCAGGCAGTTTGGACCCACCAAGCATTCTTCAGCGAACAGGCGAGGCAGTCTGCTCTTGCAAATATGACAGCCTCAGAAACCACCTGGTAGGAGACTGTCCTCCAGGGTCACAGTGAGCAAGAATCAACCTGACAGCTGTGGGCTG